GATATATTTATATATATATAGTATATATATTTAGACAAGCCCTGCCAAGTCTATTCATTCGCTCAGGCGCACGTCACCAAGAGTCATTTCCCACCATCTCACAACGTATAAAACAGGAGTTATGTGGCTAAGGGAAGGGAAGTTGTTTTCAACTGTTCACTCTCCCTTCCCCTTCCTAGAGAAGAGAGCGGAGGTTACGGGTCCAGCACGGCCTATCGATCCATCTCATCCAGCAGTGGCGTGGCGTCCCCAGCGATAGACATGGGCGTGCTCTCGATCATGGGGCTGGGAGATGGGCGAGGAGTCAACCTCTGCTTCTGTTTCCTCCGTTCAGCCTCCTTCTCCTGGAGCCACTGCTCGGCCATCTTCCCCCAGTCGATCGCAGCGTGACTGTTGGTCCTGCAACGACACGGGCAGGAGGTGAGACATGCAAGCGGGAGAGCTTCCCTGCCCTCCCTCCCCAAGGGTCCGATGCAGGAAGGCGCAAGATAACCCCACCACGCTGGTTCCACAAAAATCAACAAAAGCAATCAAGACGGGACCCAGACGGACACATGCACCCGGTGCTGGAGCCACTCACTTTGGCTGCTGCCTCTGCCTGGAGCTGGACGATGGCTGCGACTGTGTCTGGGGCTGGGTGGACTGGGGTGTGGTGTTGGCCTGGAGCTGGTACTGGGGCGTTGTAATCGGCTGGCTGGGAGTAGTGTAGGAGTAACTGGGGGTCATCAGAGGGGTGGCCACCGGTTGCTGTGCTGGAGTCGTGAAGACCTGCAGAGAGCAGATACTGTTAAGGGACAGAGGACAAACCCTGCCAGGCTGTGGGCAGAGGTCTGGCATGCTCTTGCATTGCCCTACTCGCCCAGGAGGCTGGTGCACGCCCTTGCTGCACACTCCCAGCCCTGCTGGAGCCCCTCCTCTGGGCAAGGAGAGGTTTGCAGTGACCACTGCCCATGGAATGGGGAGCTGCAGGGCAGAAGGAGCAACACCCTGCTGAGCACAGGACATTTGTTCCCCTGAGAGCCCCCTGATAGCCCACCCAACCTGGGCCAGCAGGGCCACTGCAGCCTGCCTTCCTTGTTCACCCCACACAGGGTACAAGGGGAGATACTTAAGCCAAGGGAAGGTAAGGGCCGCAAGAGATGGGCACAAGAGACACTTGGGGCAAGCCAGCAAAAATGACGTCCTGCAGTGGGCATGAAGAACAGACGAATTCTTCCCCTGTGAGCTGCAGAGAAGGCGTAGCAGCTCCCGAGATGGCTCCCTCCCACATCCCAAGCTGCCTGGCTCACTGTTTGTCCAATGGAGTGCTTAGTCTCTTTGCCTCCCGGTGTTCACCTCCCTTTTCCTTCAGATTGCCTTGATGATTAATACATTGGGTTACCCACAGTCCCTGCCTATCCCCAGTTCAGCGTTTACTGTGCCAAACTCCGTGAAAGCTTCCCAAGGTGGTCTGAAAGAGGATCACTCCTCCCTGCAAGCCTTGTCTTGCAGCACCTCTTCATTAGGTCTCTCTAACAGCTGGGTGCGTTTTTGTACCCCGGCACCTCAGTCCTTCTGCAGCAGGATTTAGGCTCGGTGTCAGCTGGGGAGCTGGCAGTGTGGGCTGGGAGGAGGAGGCAGGCACCAGCACACATGAGAAAAGGCTTCAGCGTGAGCCGAAACTGTCCAATTCCATCTTGCTCCCTGCAAAGCCTCTGGGTGTTCAGTCAGGTTGAGGTGTTCGCCTGCCGGTGCAGCTTGAAAGATTAGCACACTGAGCTGAAAAGCCCTGCAAACTCAGCGCATAGTTTCACAGCTAATCTCTTCCACTGGCAGCTCACATTGCCAATTCAGGGGCACAATCAGAAGGTTGTGCGCCCTCACCGCTGGATCCCACCTCTCCACCCTGCCACATGCCTTGGGGGCCAGACCAATTTGCTACTTGCTTCAACTCTCCCCAGAGCAGGGCTGTATTACGTGCCTTATTTCCTCAGCCACAGGAGGCAAGAAGAAACCCGGTCCAAGAATCCAGCCAGGCTCCCCTGCGCAGCACCACGGGAACACAACTAGGACTGGATGATCCCAGGCAACGAGTAACCCCTTAGGCTCCCAGTGGAGCCCCCATGGGATGGTTTCTAGCAGCAAGGGGAAGCCACACAGCACCTCCTCTCAGAAACTTAAGTGACACCTACGTGGTACGCGCTGCTGCCACCTCCGCTGCCTCCATAGCCATACTGACTGGATGCCCACTGCGCAGGGGTGGCATTTGGGTTCTGTCCCTGGCCTGTCACAGCAGCGATGGCATTGAACATCTGGGAGGTCATATTCTGCGGTAGAGCATTCACTGCACGAGTCAGGTCTGCAAGAAAGACCCATCATGTTAGACAAAGTGGAGCCTGGAAAAGGAGTTTGCATCCCGATTCCAATCAGGAAATGCCTGCACTGACCTGCCAGGTTAATGTTAGCTGGAGTAGCATTAATGGAGGCTGGAGTCCTGGTCCGACTGCTACTGCTGGGGGTAATACCTGCACAAAGTATAAACCAAGAGAGATAGATTAGTTCTCTAGAAGAGCTGCTATTGGCCTGAAGCTCAGGATTTGAAAAAATGCAGGCAACACTTGTACTGGCAAGATGCTATTTTACCAGGGAATGGTGTATGAGGTGGGGAAGGCTAAGGGAAAGGGACAAGCCCAACTTTTGCTGCATGGCCCACTTGGCTGAAAGATTAACTCTCAGAAGAGTTCTCAATGGGTCCATGGAAGCCAAACACTAAGCGTCGCTTTGAAACTTCCCACATATAGAAAATCCTAGGACACATTTCAGGGACAAAGAACATGAAATTGTCCTTTCCTAACTGCCGCTACTGTGTGACACCCAGGAAACAAACAGCTGAGGCACTCAGGTTTTGGGATGCTCACCTGGAACAGGGTCCTGATAATTTTTTTTTCATTCACGGTAGGGAAGACCTGGCCCCGGTAGCGGAATCCTTCTGGCGTCACTGTTACATACTCTATCCTGCGAGAAGCAGTGAATGCAGGAGAGCACAAGAGATGACAGGCTGCTTCAGAGCCATACCTGCCACCGTACAGTAGCCTCACACTAACAGGTCACAGTCAGAACAGGCAAGACCTACAAACTCAGGCAATGGCCGTGCTGATAATGAACCTACCCAAGACACTTTCATTTTGTTTTCAAACAATTGCTCCAAAATACCATGCCTTTCCATGCAAAAATCTATCAATCACTGCCTATACCCCAGCGACATCCCCTGCACAGGGCAGTACTGCTTGTAGCAGCCAGCTGGTTAGAAACACAGGACTCTCCTGGGTGAGATTTACTGCTAGACATGGGTCCTCTATTGTCAGGGAGCCAAACCCTGGGTAAGGGGAGGCCTGACTTATGGGGATACTGACAGAGCTAGAAGAGAAACTGGCAGTAATAAGTTGAGGTGTGGTACTGAGTACTCAGCTGCAGCTGCTGGGCTTGCCTCTCACTTACCTTGGTTTGCCTCGAGGCTGATATCCCAAGAGGAATTTGCCAGGTAGATCTTTACAGGCACTGATAAAGTAGGGAATAAATGTTGGCTTCTCTTTCTTGGTCTTTATCAGCAGCTCTTCCAGCTTCTAATTAGAGAGAGAGAGAGGAAGAGAAATGCTCAAGCCTACATTTTTAGCAACATACAGAGTCTACGGATATCTCCCTCCATGCTGTGATCAGCCCTTTTTCTGCCCAGCCCTGATGCTAGCAATCCAACGAGGACAACCAACTGCACCATTTCTGCACAGGGTTGGTGCACAAATGTCACCAGGTCACAGAAAGCCAATTACTCTGCTTTCAGTGATATTTGCTGATAGGGCAACCCTTTGCTGCTCTGGCACACCACTATAGCACACCATATACTCCCCATTACTGTCCTAACTCCACTGCTCCCAGACAGAATCCCCCTGAGACCTACAGCTGGCAAGTGACTGCCAAGCCCCAAGCGACAAGAGGAAGATCAGAAAGCTCACTCCAGCAGCAGCTCATGCCAGACACAAAGAGTTTAAGACCTGTTCTGAGACAAAAAAATTTATATAATGCTTGTGTATCTCCTACAGAAGCTACCACATCCCAGGACAGGCTTACCTTCTTGTCTCCACCGTTGCAGTCCTGATAGTATTTGTGATTCAACAGGTCTCTGGCAAAAGAAGCCATTGGCTGGACATAGCGAGCAACAATTTCATCCAGGTCTTCAAATTCCTTTGAACAAACACATTTAAAGAGGTATTTAGGGTGCGTGAGGAACTCTTATTCTAGTATACAGCTCTCAGTCATACATTCTGCACAGCAAGGCTGGATGCTTTGAGGGGGGGGTGAGCGGGGGCGGGGGGGGAAAGAGCTGAGTATTGTCTAAGAATCTGGAGAACTGCAATGGAAGTTACTCTCCAACAGTCTGAAAGCAGCTGCAAGGACAGAAAGGCTGTGCCAACCTGTCCCTGCCAAATAGGTACTTCTCCTTCCCCGCCAACTCCTTCCCAGGCATGCTCTGCAAGGCTCTTACCTCTGTGTTAATCCAAAGTGTGGAGCCCAGGCTGAACGCATTCTCCTTGCCCTCTTCTCGGACATCCACATGCTGGTAAATCCCATCGTTCACCTTCCAGGTGACAGTCAGGTGGTTCTCCCCTTTGCTACTTGGCCGAATAATCACATCCCCTTGGTCCATGGTCTCCATCATCTTCTCAGCTTGCTTGAAGCTAATGTTGTGGAATGATGGGTGAGCAATTACTCTCTTGATGTACGCTAGGGGACAAAGCGGAGTGTTTAGGCTTCCAAGAGGAACTGCTTTATTGCAACTGTATGTCTAATTGTGCTTATTCTCCTGAAGCACCCTGGGAAGGCTGGCATTACAAGGGAGAGAAAAATTAAGAGACTCACTTGTCCGCTGCTGCTTTCTTTTCAGGTCTTCTTCCTGTTTGTGATCTGCTGCCTCAGAGTCAAAGTCGTAGTAGGTGTCTTTAGGCAGTTTCCACTCATTGTTCTTATCCATCAGGTCTGAGGTCCTGCAGGTCAGGTCTGCACTGAACTTCTCAATGTCGATCTTCATAATCCTGCAGTGAACGGTCATTCCCACCTATAGGTGAGGGGCAGGCAAAGCTGATCAGCAGGTTTGGCTGATATGCCAGCCTCCCTGCACTACAGAGCAATCAGTGCGGTGTCACGCTGCCAATAAGGAGGTACGAATTACCTCGCATACTTCAGACTGATAGAACCTTTAAAAGTGATCCTTCCATATGAACCGAAAATCAACTGATCCCCAAAATGACTAGAATCGAAAGAGATTACAGGAAAAAATGGGCAGTTCTCCAGCACGTCTACTACCTATGCTCCATAGCACACAGCAAACTGCATGTCTGGAGGCTGAAGACAATTAAGTTTGCTATTTTATGTATCTTTAACAATGGGAGCAGCAAAACTGGACTTCAAGATGTGCAAGAAAGCAGTTAAGTCTGTTCAGAAACAGAGTGGAAGACACCCAAAGGACTGCTCTAATAAAATGGGAAACAGAAAATACCACCACAAAAACTGCAATGTCTTGGTCCAGTTAACCGTGCTGAGTTAATGACCCTTTAAAGAAATGCTAAAAGACCTCTGAGCTTACAGGATTATCCATCACCTGCATGGACTGTCAGGGGGACCCCAAAAGACAGCAAAGATATTAAACCTCTATTTTATCACATGACAAAAATATGTGATTCTCCTTCTTTCAGAAGCCCAATCCCTGTCCTGAGCAAGACCAGTAGCTCTGATGACCTCCACAAATGAATTGAGACAGAAGAAAAAGCTATGAGAGAGGGAAAGTGACCCTTGCATATCTAAAAGCAGTTCTGCGAAATCTTTAGAAAGCCTGAAACAAAGGGCAGCTCTGCATTAGAATGCCTTCTGGTCTCCTAAACCCAGACTTTAGCCAGACTATAATAAATCCTCCTGCAGTGCAACATGTTAACTGATTAACGTGGTTCCCACCAGCTGCCAAGAGAGATTTGCACTGTGGGAGAAGGACACTAACCAGAACCTGAACTTGCTGCTGATTTAAAGTTCTTAAATGAAAATAAGGTTTGAAAAGTCATTTAGGGAACAGTGTTATTAACCAAACTCTGAATCTTTGGTATTAGCTCCAGGGCTTTTCCAGCTCTTGCTGGATATGTGAAAATCCACTGCTTTCATACCTTCACCCTTTCTTCTGGCCGCTTGACCACCTTATCACTAAGAAATTTTGTTGGGATAAAGCCAGCGACACCATTATCCAGACGTGTCTTCACTCCAATGGCCTGACCTGGGCAGGAACCGCTGTCAAAGTGATTCCAAACCTTGAGCAAGGCAAAAGGAAAAGTCATTCAGCATGGAAACAAAATAGCCCCGGCAGCTCACACTCAAGCAAGTCTAAAAGCTGTGTCAGCAAACTGGTGCAGCCAGCAGAGACATGTGGAAGGGCAGGGGACAGAGGACTTCAACGAATGCTACCCAGTAATGCAATCTTCCTACTGTGGTTCTTCTCAGCTTATGGGCCTTTGCAACCAGGAATGTCAGAATATTTTTAGACCCTGAACACAAGCCTGCAGCTAGGGCTGGTTTCTAATGAACGCTATAGGGTTTTAAAGTCACGGATTACCAAGGATGGAATTTAGCAGTGTTTAGAAGAGACCTAAAGTACAGCTGCATTAAGCAGCAGGGAGTCCAGATAAGTTCTTAAAATTGAGAACGTGGCAGAACAACCTTCTGTTCTCAGTGTCACAGGCAGCTTCTCTGCATAAAACACAATCCTAGACCACAAACAAGCCTGCTTTATGTATTTGCAAAGACCTGGTCATCTTAGCCCCAGGTCCATTTCACTCCTAGCCCAGTTCACTAAAATCCATAACGTAGCCATAAAGGATAGCTTCAAATCTATACTGAAGCAATTAGTCAAAAGTGGAACAGGTTATATTTGCAGCCAAAGGCCACATTCAGGCTGGGATCCTGGGGCACTGCAGACACAATCTTGGCTCTGATACCTTGTCTCCCAAGAACCCTACAAAACGCTCAAGCCTGCCAATAGCAGACTCCTGACAAAGGCAGGCCCATTAGGAGAAGCAGCCCCACCTCACTGAGCTCTGGAAAGTTATCCTGCTGACAGAAAGGACACTGCCAAAGGCCAGTTTCATCGTTCCGTATTGCCTGGTCGTAGCTTTCTCCTTGCGGTCGCCTGTGGGCTATCCCAGTCACATTGCAGATGATCATTTTACCTGTGGTGTAATGGGAGAGGAGAAGGAGAGAATGAAAAGCTGAAAGCGAACTGCAGGGCTGGGCAGTTCCCTTGATCTAAGGTAGTTGTGCATGAAGGTGTTAGGAGACTACCCAGGTACTTGAAAAGCTGCTTCACATACATGCAACCATAGCACCGTCCCAACATCGTCCTCACCAAGATCCCTCTGCCCCACCTTTACACATTCTTAGTCAACTTAGGACAAAAACCAGGGACGTAAACAGGGAGGTACCTATATAAAAAGTCTCTGGAGTTTCTTTGGTCAGCATATTGAAGACCTCTTCTGTGTTTGGAGAACGGTATGGGGTTCTCAGGTCCTTGTACCTGCAGCTTAGTTCAGCTCGAATGTCATATAAAGTGATATGCTTGTCACCGTAGCCCTGTGTGGTATTCAAAGGTTATAAAGCCATGAGCAGCAGGAAGGAGGTGAGTAGGGAATCCAGTGTAAGTTATGAAAGAACTCAAGGAACTTATCAAACAGCAAATCTAAAAAAGAGGAATGCACAGGGTACCATCAAACTGTGGAACTCAGTCACAGGATATTGAGGAGGTCAAAAGTACCAATACATTCAGAAAAAAGTTAGATAATTGCAGGGAGAACAGCTTAAACGGTCTAATTACTGTCTCCTGCCTCCTTCCTCCCTCTGCCCCAAGTGTACTTTCTGTAAGCATTTACTACATGGCATTGTCAGACACCGAATACTCATCATGGCTATTTATACATTTTACAACAGCAACAGCTAAATGCTCAGCACCTAAAAAGGATAAGGGTCACCAGCAATAAAACGTAAGAAACTGAGCTGGACAGTAGAGCTTCCCCTCTGTTTCTCAGCACCAGGAATCCCCAGCACACCTGTCTTTCCAGTTCTTCAGCAAAGGCATCGAGATCCAGGTCTTTCAGGCGCTCAGGGTTTTCCAAGATCTCCTCTAGAGCTCCTGCGGGATTAGCGTCCTCTGCCGACTCATCGTATTCTAAGGCATCCACTGCCATTTTTCTTGCCCATTCATAGGTTTCAGGATGGACCCTAGACCCATCTAGGACTTCGATGTAGGAATCAGTACTGAAATAAAACCAAAGCAATGTTCAGATAAGGACTCTGTAGGGTTTCAGAGTCACCTCCTTCAGCTCAATAATAAATCACGCTGTTGAGCACCACTATCGGCTGTGCGGCTGCTTGCCACTGCTGTCCTCAGTGGAACAAACTACTCTAGAAAGGACACAATGAATTCTTCATTGCTAAATCAACAGGAGCCAAGGCAAGACATGACAAATTCCAGTCTGCAGCTCCTGCACTGCAAAGATACAGCCAGGAATTTTGGATGCTATCTAGATTTGATCACTCTGTGTGCTATAGCTGCTCTATGAGCACACAGCTCTTCACAGCTTCTCTCCTCATACAAACTAAGTGTTGCCAACTGGCAGTGCAACCATCTGCATCCAGCTGTTTGGAGGAATCTACACTTTGCCCCCTGCACATCTGGGATTTGTATCCTGCAAGAACCAGGCACCTAGCAGGGTCAGATCACTCAGCGTAAGGATTCAGCCAGGTGTCCTTTCTCAGACTGCTTTTCAAAGGCAAGAAAGATACTGTGCCAGCCCTAGAGAAAGCACATTTCCAACAAGTGACTCTTCTGTGCAAGGCAGTCAGCTAGAGATTTAGAAACTAGGTTACCACTGTCCTCCAAACACACATCTCTTGTTTAGTTACCCGTAACCTAATGCTCTACAAACTTTCCAGTATTGCTACTAGTTTAAGAGAAAGCTAAATTGCTGAGTTATGCCTCAAGTTTGAAATTTCAGAAAAATAAAACACTGAGGTAGGAGTAGGCAGAAACTAAGCAAAAGTGCACATGGGTTACTGATGGACATGCATGACGACTATGTTAGGGAACAACTGTTTTTAGTTTAGTTCCTCTTGACCACAAAGGATCTTTCAAACCATAACAAGCTATATAATTAATGTTCTGCAGCTCACATTGCTATGCAAGTTTAGCTGCCCTTAAGAATCAGATTAATAACCAGCAATATCTGAACTTGGCCAGTGATCAGAGGGGCCACACAGAAACCCCTGGGAACACGGACTCCACAGAACAGGACTGCTTCAGCCTGTCGCTCATGCTAACTCCATACCCTGTATGACATTGAATGCAACCCAATACTCACCTATCGCCCAGCGATGCTGTGTCAATTTTGATGAAGCCAGCACAGTTGATAAACACTTTGGGTCCCATGTGACACATCGTAACCAGCTGGGTCCTGTTCTCCAGACGCGTGTTGTTTTGTTTTAAGATCTGGAGAAAGAGGCAATAGTATAAACCCTGCTATTCAAACACAAGGGTTTCCCCAGAAAAGCAGAGGACTCACACTGGACACTGCAGTGTTCAAAGCATCTGACATAATCAAGCCCATCAGAGCTCATAATTGTTGCCCCTGCCTGTGTCTCAACATTGTATGAAAGGAGATGACTCCACATGGAACAGCTCCAACTCTTAGGAAAAGCGTTGGCTTTTTGCCTTGTGTTTTCTACAGTACGGAGGCGTCTTGATACTGTAACAGTGCATCCGTTCCTGTAGGTTCAGGAGCTAGCTAGGATTGACAGATCTGCTGAGTTGCTTGGGTCTATCAAGGACGTAAGTCCATGCACAGCTTCAAGGTTAGGCGCAGTGAGATAACACACACACTAAACCACACGTCAACGGAGCTGTCAGCTGCATCTGGCACACGGGACCCTGATTCAGCTTGTAACAGCACTGCCATCAGGCCAACTCGCACGTTATTGGTGATGCATTGGTTTTGTAGGCAGGGACAGAAGCCTCCTTACCTTTAGCAGATGAGTGCCTTTGCGTGGTCCCAGGCCACACACATACTGCAGCAAAGCCTGGCTGTGAGGGTGAGCAATCGCCCGATTGACATCCACTCCCACCTCGTTCACACGGTTTATGAATTCGCAGTAGAGAGCATTCAGCAGTTCCTCCTTCACCACGTGCTCCTGACAGAAAGGAGAGGCATTAGCCTCGCAAGGAGATGCGTGCAACATTGCCATAAGCAAGCTGAGCCAAACGCAACAGACAGACTCTCAGGAGCTGTAGTGCATCTCACTGAGAAGAGCCTAAAGGCAGGCAAAAAAAAAAGGTGCTCTGTAGCCTGAATATGGTATAGAACAGGCAGAACTTGCACCGGTTCAGCTTGGAATACTTTTCTTTGACAGCAAACTGTCCCAGGCCTTCCAGGCTACTTTCTCTTGCAGAGAAGGATCCCACAAGGCAAAGTTACCTGCAGAGGGTGGAGTTTTAGGCAGAGAATATCCTCATCGGAGCTGCAGACCTGGGCGAACTCTATGAGGGGGTCCTGAATACGGCGAGCAAGGGAGACGGCTTGACGCAGCAGAGGTGGGTAATCCCGGAACTCATTCTGTAAGAGGTCAGAGAATCAGGGAAAACCCTGACGGTGTCTTCACACTTTGTAGCGCCAGTAGCAAAGACACATCAGACAGGGACTGGGACAAGGGAAGCATTTGGTACTCAGGGCAAAGAGAGCTGAGGTCAAAGGCTCCCAGGAACTCTGCTGCAACTAGGAATGAAACAACCCCATCCACTCAGCTGAGCAAGATTCATTTCAGACTACATCAATATCTACTTTGTACATCTGCTGGTGCTCATCTCTTCAGGGAAGCCTAAATAAGAAGTTTTGCCTTGACCCAAAGGTCAGTACATCACTATCTAGATGGATTACATGAGGCAGCGGATGACAGAAGGCAGGGCCAGCACAACAAATGGAGGATGAGACAGCACAAATGAGCAACAGGCTAAGGGATAGCTGGAATAACAGAAGGTTCACCTCAGACTTCTTGCTGTTCATGTAGAGGATGGCCAGTTCATTGTCCACCAGCTCCACTCCGATAGAGGACAGCTGCTGCCCTTGATCCAGCTCATGAACAATTCTCTTTACATCCTCCATCAGCATCTGAGCATCCCTAGGAATAGACGGTCAAGGGGATTGAAGGGAGAGTACAAAGTTGGGTCCTGGAATTACTTAAGGAGATAACCCCAGTGAGTTACCTCACACCACGGACAGAAACAGCGAGATGTGGACAGGCATGAGGAAAGGACTGCAAAGAGACTGGGAAGCAGAAGGAACACAAAGACTGACCTGTTCTCGCCTGCAATTGTCACCACATGAGGCTTCTTGTTCAGAAGGAATTTTTTCAAGGTTTCAATATCCTGGGCCTGGAAAGGAAAGTAAGACAGGTCAGAGTAGAAAAGCTATAGCATTTCTGTACTGAGCTAGCTACCAGTCCTGGGTTCCTATTTCATAGGGCAAATCCTCCCCCACTGCCACCCTGATTTGCCACCGTGACATGAATGCCTTTTCACAGGCAGGCCTTGCAGCTCCTTACTACTGTAAGGACAAACTGGAAGGCTCTGCAGAGGAAAGACTGATGGCATCATGCTCTGTTGTTACAGAAGATCAGTGCAAGTAGGGAATGGAAGTCAAAAGCCTGCCGCAAGCTCCAGGAGGTCTCACAGCCTCTCACTATTATAATATGATCAGGGAAAGGGGAGAAAATTTCTGTAGCTGGGACCACAGAAGCTCACAAACTCCCAACCAGCAGAACTCAGAAATGGCAAGGCCCTGCCACTCCCTGTAAGAGGAGCAGAAGAGATGAATTGGAATCTAACTGGAAGCAACTGTTCTGCCAGAATAATTACAGGGTGGGGAAAAGGCAGTATTTTTGCATGCCAGAGTGACAAGGCCTGAGCTGTCTTCAGCCTGACTATTCCTCTCCAGCCCACAGTGGACGGCACAGTACCAAAAGCAACGTGCAGACATTCATCTCGACGACAATAGTTGCACCAAGGCTCACCTTCTTTTCCCTCTCTTCCTCACGCCAGGCGTTTCTTCTCTTTGTGAAATGTGGCAATCGGAGGAAGTCTGTAACCTCACCCTCTCCATTAACAAGGGCGCAAAACACAGGGTGGTCCCTGCGAAACAGAGATCACTCAGACATGGAGGACTGCTAAAGCTGAACATGGATCCAGAGGCAATTCCTTTCCTCCTACCTGGCAGAGGAAAATGCAATGCCTAGCACCCGAATCCCCTTCCCTTGGTTTTCATCCATGAAATCATCATCTTCCTCCACTTGCTGATCGGGACGGTATGAAGCTACTTTTAGCCAGTTGTACAGCTTCCGGCTGCAAGCCTGGTAGAACAGAGAACAGGAGAGAGGAGTGAGAAAATCCACTGCAGGTGCTTTGGCATAGCCCTTCTCTGGAGGGAAGGTCATGGACTGGTCAAGGCAGCAAGACAGTATATTCTGTCAGGATTGGGACCAGCTCTCCAGAACCATGGAGCCCATCTTCCCTCGCACTGAGGTATCTGCTTTTCTCTCCATTTTTGGGAAAGTACCACATTCAGACCCCTGCCTGCCCCCTCCTCCTCCCCAAATACCTGTCAGTAGCTCTCCCCAGCACGCTGCAGGACTGTTAGCATTTGTAACCCCAGCTCAGACTCAAACCCACCTGTCCCCCATCTCACCTTGAGGACATACTCCTTGGCCTCCACCAACAGCTTATTCTTCAACTCTTTAGCCATCTGCACATAGAGGAACTGGTTGAGGGACCGCTCAATGGCCATCGTACGCTGCCGATTCCACTCCTGCACCTGGTGGCTGAACTCATCCCGATAATAGAACTGTTTGATTTCCTCAAAGTATGTCTGGTCGCTACCATAACTGCAAGAAATGAGAGGAGGAGATACAGAAGGGCTCCAAACACCTGCACTGACACCACCACTGGCAGATTCAGGGAGCTGCCTGGGAAATTTAGAGAAGAGCCAATCTTCCCATCAAACACTCCTTTAACTGCAAAAACTATGCTGCTAGACAATTGCAGCTATACGCCATGCTGGCAGCACAGAGAGGCCTGATCAGTGCAACACAGGGCAGCCCACACTCACTCCAGCACACCCATATTACACAGTGTGGCTACTCAGATGTGCAGGGAAGGAACCAAGGAGCCACACAGTGAGGGTGGCTGGGAAACAAGCATCATCTTTCACAAAAATCCTAAAGGCTTCAGAGTTTGCCTTCAAATGAATAAGCCAGATGTCTGCTAAAGTTTTCACTAAGATGAAGAAAAAAGCAAGACCCTGAGAGGCTGCTTGGCTTTAAGGTGCAGGAAACCACCAGGCCATGGCTTCCAGGAGCAGTTTGGGTTACAGAGGAGCTCTAACAGCATGGCAGCACTGGATGAACGAGCTCTGCCAAGGCACGGACGGCACAGCCAGTGAGGACTCACCCCTCCACTCCTTTCATGTCAATGCTGATATCTATAGTCAGCAATGCCTCCTCCTCTGCCAGGCTCATTTTCAGGAACTGGTCATCTCGCAGCTCCTTCACAGGCTTGTTCTTCAAGTATTTAAAGGAATAGGCGTAGTGGGCTTCATCAACATCCTGGGAGAGAGGAGAGACAGTCAGCATGCACACAGGGCACTCACGAAGAAAGACCCTTCTGTATACCATAGCAGACAATGGTTTTTATTCAATACCCCCTCACCCCTATGCCTGCCAGTCTGCATTTCCTTCCCCAGCAGGACACAGTGGAATTCATTCCCAGTCCCAGAGAAACAGAGACTGTTCCAACAATTGAAGGCAACATCTCAACAGCAAGAATCAGGTCTGATGAAATGCTGAGACTAAAAATGCAGCATGCTGCTGAGCTGGCCTCTGCAACAGCCCAGCTCACATGCTGCTCTAAGGTTTATTCAGAGTTGCCACTGACGCGGGAGAAGTTTTCAGATGCAAAAACGAGCATTTGCATGTTATTTAGATCCTTCCCTGAATTGACCCACAGAGTCAGAGCTCCCTTCCTTACCTTCTTCCCTTTTTTGGTTGGTGAAATGTTGATTTTAGCTCTTTCTTGGAAAGTCTGTCTCAGGACCTGTCTGACCAAAGGCTCCCTGGCTATCTGCAAAGCCACCATGTACCGGGCTCCTTCCAGCACTGCTTCAGGGCTTGGGAATTGACTAAAAGCAAAAAGGCAACATGAAGGCTTGGGACTTGAGAATGTCCCCAGATCCCCTCCCCTGTGTCACATCTGCAGAACCTCAACGAAGATCCCCCCACACTGACCTACACACATAATCCTTGGCCAGCTCCAGGGGCTCTGCAGGGAACTGCTCTGTCTCGTGACGCTGGTAACTGTCTCGGAGATTCTCTCCAAACTGCTCAGGTGTCAGACCAAACTTCTTAGCCAGGCCATCTGGAAAAAAAAACCCACAAAACCAATGAGGATAAGGGTACTGTAGGTTATACTGAGCAAAACTACCAGTCCTCCTTCTACAGGTAAGCCACACCACCCAGAAGAGCACGTGGGCTAGGCCACTGCAAGCTCAGCATGACAGAGCACAGCCCTTACCCAGCCCAGCTGTTTGACAGATGGTGTACATATCCCGACGGGAAGCCTGCTTCAGCTCAGGCCCTTTCTGCTCATCATCTTCTGCATCCTCCCCTTCACCTATGGGAAGGATATGTTTAGCAAGCTCTCTTTACAGAGGCATCCAGACAGCTGCAGGGTGTCAGAAGCACAGCAAAGGAATTAAATACAACCTACATTGTGCAACAGAGTCCCTAAAATCCACAAACACATCTCAAAGGTTACAGTAGCCTTAAAATTACTCAGGGTTAGAAAAACACCCTGAAAATGTCACCTTCTCTTCAGTTTCACTCTTTTGCAGTTTTAATAGCAGTATCTTTGGGTTGCGCATTAAAACACACATCAAGGTGGCTGATCCTTGCTTTGGCCCCCGCCATAAGGGGTGGTATTCAGCCCATCGGAAAAGCAGCACCTTGTGTGGCAAACTTTAAGCAATTTCAGAGATGCCTGAAAGACCTGGGACTAACTTGAGATGGAAGCAATCAGCAGAGATGCTCTGTGCAAACAAATGGGCTTTTCAACAAACTTTTTTACTACTCTTTTGAACCAGGCTTTTCAAACAGCCCACAATTAGGAGACTATCAAGTTTGGGGACAAACCTTCCTCCTCTTCACCATCCTCTCGGATACGTTTTTGCTTCTTTCGAGCGGCCTTGGCAGCATTCTGCATCTTGGGGATGTCTCGCCCATAGTACAGCAGGAAGTGATTATACACGTCCTTCAGCTCGTCCATGGACTGCACGTCCTTCAGCCTACGGCATGCAAAGCCAGCATGTTACACCCTGCTTGCAGCTGAGCCGTGGTCAGAGCACTCAAGGAACCTGCTCTGGTACAGGTCAGGCAGAGGCAGTGCTATAAATATTTCTCATTACTGGCTTTGTGGGGAGGCTAAAGTCAACGCGCTGCAGTGGCCAGAGAGCCTGTGCTGTTTGGGCAAGTTAACGCGCATTTTAAGTTATTTTGGAATGAATATAAGAAAGTCATGGCACCATACCTCTCCATGTCAGTAGTATCCAGGGCCCTTATTCCATCAGCCAAGGGCTTGTCCGGGTCAGCAGAGATTTGTTCGTACTGATAGGCCTGCATCTTCTCAAACAGACGTGTCAGGTTCTGCTTGCGGATCTTCAGCTGGGTCCACTAATATGAGAACAAAGACTTCCAGTGAAACGCACCATAGCGGTACGTCACATCTGTCTCCTCCCTTCCCAAACAGGGGCTCCCAGGATCTTGGGATATTTGTCATACAAAAATAATCATCAAAATCTTCATCCACAGCCAAGCCCAGATGTGACACACGTGGCAGGTCTCAGCTCAGAGGTGGATTGTATTAACGGGGTGGGGGGTGGGAAATCAGGTTTGGATCTACCTGGTAGCAGAGAAGGAACATGCGCTCCTTGCAGGAAAGGTCACTACACAAAAGGAACTCAGTGAAGAGGAAGGACTGTTTTGAACCCTCTTTTGCCAGATAACCCTTTACCACCACATGATAGCAAACATGCAAAAAAACCATGGGTAAAAAAAGCACACAAGGCCTCCACAGCCAAAACAAAATCTGCTGAAAGTATCAGACTAGGTGGGAAGACATGTTAAATGTTGATGGATAACAAGCAGTGAAAACAATCCTCACCTTCTCATCCCACTGCCAGACCCTCCACAGGTCATTGATATGCAGCTCTGGCTCCACATACTCCTTTCTGTAGAAGGCGATGAATGGGACCTGGGTCAGAAACGAGACTCATCACCGCCATGCAGGAGACCAGGCTGTTCCTGGCAGCCAGGAGTCCAGAGAATATTGCTGTTCCATGTGGGAGGACAAGCTAATGGGGCAGCAGTGTAGGAGATGTACCAAGCCATGCCCCAGCTCTTAAGACTGTTCCACCAAAGAATACATCACATATTCCAAAAAGCTTCTGCAACATCAGGCAATACCTCAGAGAATAGATTGAATGGACCAAGCGAGGCTCAAGAGACTCTTGAAATTCCTCCACCTCATTTAGCATCAATTTGTCCAGGATCAGGGAAACATAGTGATAGCAGCCCCATCAAACAGGCCTTAAAAACCTGCATTGCCACAGCTCACATATGATGAGCTGCACTTTCCAATGAAGCACCATTTTGTCACAGGAGAGGCAACCAGGTATGGTACCTCAGCCCCTTCTAGTTTGCTGCCCTAAATGCTTCCAGCAGCCCCTCTGCTAATCCTGTCAGGATAAGGAGACAGCAACTCAGACCTTATCTTGGCAATGAAGCCGAGTTGCGAATTACCTCAAAATGTTGATTTCTCATGAAATTCAGGGCTTCTTTAATCTTCTGGATGGTGCTGGGCCCCTTGCGGCTGAAGCTGCTGCTGGCTTGTCCACGGTCAAGGTAGTCAGAACTTTCCTAAAAGGAAAAACACATTGTATTGATCGCATTCCTGAGCTGACCCCCAAAAGACCAGCCCAGGCTAAGGCTGGAAAACGGGGGTCCTTCTGTTAGCTGGAATGCAGGCTTAGCTACACGCTCTGATTTTAGACCATAGAAAAGCATCCTAGCCCTGACTGGCTTAAAAGAAAACGGAGAAGCAGCATCTGGCCAAGGAAACTGATGGTTAAAAGCAGATCATGGCTCATACTAGTTTAGCCTTAAGTGCACAGTGGCTCAGAGATCTTTCAATCGTTCTTGACAATTACTCCTGCAACTTCTCTGTGTTCTTTTTTGTCCTGTTTTATGGATGCGAAAATGAAGACATATGCATGTTAAATGACCTGCTCAAAACCAGAAAACCAGAAAGAAAAGTATATTGGGCATACATTCCTCTGAGCAGACTCTTGGAACAATGTCTCCAGGCTGGAAATCTGCAGCACTTTCAAGTCCTCTTAGGACAGAAGTCCCAGGCATAGTCCTTTACCTGCAAGGAGATGGTGGGTGTCGCAAATGCGTTCCTGTAAATCCAGTCAGCTTCTTCCTCCAGCTCATCATCTTCAGCACTCTTCACCGGGATGGATCGCAACTGTGAAAAGACAACAGGATGAGCAGAGGCATGTGCAACACCAGGGCTTGTGCTACCATGTCTTCAAGAAGCCTGGAAATTATTGTTTTGGGCTGCAGGTTGCTTATGGGGTCTCAGTACCTCCCAGACCCACAGGGCTTTGCTGGGGATAGCACTTCAATGTCTGCATCTTCTGAGCACGCAGGAAACCTAGGTAAAGGCAGCTAACAATTCTGTCAAAGGCTTGTGGAAAGGCCTGCAATGGTGCGAAATCTTCCATGATGATCAAGTCAGGGTACCCCCACTTCCTACCAGACTCCCAAACCCTCTGCAGCTACATCCTCTGTTCCAATCTATCTGTGCCTGTTTTAGCCTTGTTATCACTTTTCTTGCTGCAGCCATAGAATAACAGCTCCAAACCCTTTCTGGGCATTTAGTCCCAGCCAATTCTCTTTCAGAAGGCCTGTTCTAATCATCACTGACATCCGTGAAGACGACAAAATGTCTGAACAGGCCACATATGGCCAGAAGACATTACACACAGCGTTCCCTTGTGCTGTGCACACTGGCATGGGAAAAAAGGTCTTTCTGAAAAGCTGGCAGCTTCATACGTCCCATTTTACAAAGGAGGGTAACAAGCCTCTGCACAGAATTACATTAACAAACACTAAAGGGAGATCGACTGTTCAGTGAAAATCTGAATATAGGGTAAAATCAAGACAAAAATATGAGATACCAGAATGATTCCTAGCAGCACAAACACGACTCCGTATTGACAGCAGTGTAAGTCCCAGTCACTTGGATTAAAGCGGGTTACAGAACCACCCTGTACAGAACAGTTACATGTTGGCTGGCATAGGGGTAGGCTAGAAACCCTAGCAAACCGTCTCTGGCACTGCGGCAAATCTTCTCTGGCACTGTACCTTTTGCTATCCAGAGGTACAACTCATGTGATTACTAACACTCAGGAAAGCACAAGCCCTGCACCACTCCCAGGAGTGCAACACTGGCACCCAGTGGCCAAAGAGAAACTATGACCAGTGCTAAAACTGGGCTTACACAGCTAGAACAGTTCACAATGTCACTGTTACGTTTGCATGCGGAGTTTCATTCGAGAGGTAGGATCTTCAAAGAGGGGGAAAAGAGATGCCAAAATCCAGCCAGCAGCCAGGTGAGAAAGCTGGCCTGCAGGTTCCAGGCCTGCTGTGCTCGGTGGGAGCTGAAATGCTTTCTGCCTGCACACCGGCACCCTCTTCCCTCACCTGGAACCTCTCGGGCATGTCTGTCATGCGGATCTCATTGTCCTGGTCTGTTAGGTGACTGCTTTCCAGCTCACTGGGCTCGTACATCTCAAAGATGCTACGCCGACTGACGCGCTTCTTGGCAGTCTTTTTGGGTCGTACACGGGTCTCCCCTTCGGCCTCTTCATCCTCATACTCATATTCCTCCTCCATCTCCTCATCGTACTCATTGTACTTCTCAAACTCATCATAGTCGAAATCCACACCAAAGATTTCCTGGGCTTCCTGCAAAGCACTGAAAGGCAAAAACTGTCGTTCAGCCCATGGTGCAGTTCACAGAATATCTTTCTAGCCACACAGAGGTGGCCAGAGCACCTAAGTCTAAGCTTTAGTTTTGCACCTAGGCTAAAAAATCATGGCTAGGCACACAATTCTGAGCTTTACATGCAAATACTTGTCTTTAGGGACTGGTTTTGGTATCCCTGTAAAAAATCCAGGGGAGAAAGGAAGGAGTCAGAACTTTAAGAAATCACAGGCTAAAAGCCCCATGTTTAAATTTACCAGGTTGCTTTGGGGAAAGAGACCAGCGGTATCCAACCGCAAGCTGAATCACTCTGCCGTTGCAAGAATCAAGTAAGCTGAGCACTGTTTTCGAGGCTCCAGGCCAATTTCCAATCAATACTTACGCATCTGTGTATCCAGGGAGCTTCTTTCGCCATTTTGGCTTCTTCAGAGGTTGTCCATCGTCATCCACAATGAAGTCATCGATGTCTGGACATTGAGAAGCAATTTAGTGGTGAGGACACTTGCATATTCAACTGGTACCTCTGACAAAGCTCAGCTCAGCCAGTGCAACTATAAGCCTCCACCACAGACTTAGGCTGCCGCTGGCTGTCAGTCTGCCCAGCTACCCACAGCATCTCCTACACCAACCTCAGACATTCCAGGAGTCTGAACCACAATAACAAGCTAGAACAAACTTCCAAACACAGGCAAAGCCATCTAGCAACTATCTGCAGCTCAGTGCACTGAAAATTCAGTCAGAAAAGGCCCTGTTGCTTCAGACAGTAAACAGAAATAATTCTTGAAACTCTTTCCATATGGTACTAGCAGTGGTGACGGGCTGATGCTGAAGAGAAGTAGGGCAGGCATGCGTTGTGCTATTAGGTACTAGAGTGCCTTGACTTTCTTCCTTTGAAGCATTTTCACTTTGGAGGCAGCTTAGAGGAGATGTTCAACACCTGAGCACATGTAATGTGCTTCTGGACAAAGCAGTTTAGACAGACAAATTAAACCAGCCACCCAGAAACGTTTAATTCGAAAGATTGTACTAATCAGACCAACAAGAGCTTTACCATGACAGGGCTACAGCTTTTGGTTACTTCTAGCTCAGAGAAAGTCTTAACTTCATTCCTGTGCTTTAATCCTAGGACAAACTTTGGATGTAACTGACCATCTATACTCACCAGATTCGTCTTCCTCCTCCTCTTCTTCCTCTTCTGGTTGAGCAACAGGAGCTTCAACAGCTTCCCCTCCCTCCTCGCCTTCACCATCCTGAAAGATTTCTTCAGCAATGGCTTCCTTCTCATGTTCTTCCTTTCCATAGTCTTCCTCTTCGTCATCCTCATCATCGGACATTTTTCGCACACGCCTGAATTTTTGCTGCAAGCAAAAAGGCTTGTTAGTGCACGTAATTCCTGGCACAGACACTCAAGCTCCGTGTGGTCTCTGCCAGGCCAGAACTGCACTTCCTCTGCTCCCCAGGAGGTACTTGAGAGGGAGCAGGATGGAGCCCAGCACAGGCACACAGGGGAGAAGAGCCACCCCCTCGGGAGCCGTGCTGCAGGTGCTCATTGGGCAGAGCCTGTACACAACATAAATGCCTGCTGAGGACTGCGCCGTGTCCAGGCCTGTGTCACTTGCACGCTGTCACCACCAGTGTGAGCCTGGCTTGATGTGCCTCTAGCGAGTGTTATGGAAGGAGCTTTAGAGCCCATAACAGCCTGCGCTGACTTTGAGGTTAGGGCCATGCAGGAAAAAGTTATTGGAAGACGGGCTTCTCTGAGACTGTCTTGCAGAGGTGGGAAGGGAGGAGTACAGCAGACTTTAGGAATCAGAAGAAAGTGTTTTGCAAACTCTAGGAAGCCAGTTCCCAGTTGCGTGGGCAGGGAGAGATCCTGCTTCCTTCAAGCACTCAGCTCTCCCTTTCCAAGAGGGCAGGAGCAGACGGGAGGCACTACTCGCTCACCCCAGGCAGGAGCCCACCCTCCTTCGCGCTAAGACGCACCACGCCATTAACAGCAGCATGGGAACACAACTCACTCTTTTGACTTTAACACCCAGGTTCTCTTCAATGAGGTCAAAATCATCATCCTCCAGGCGGTCATCAAAAGCTAAAAGAAGAAAGCAGAGACGAGTTACACTCTCCCTTTACTAATCTGGGAATGGACCAACGAGTGAGAAGGGTATAGCTTACCCAGCCCATGCAGACACCCAGAGCAGAGGGAGAGCTCTGCTCTCCAGCAGGGCAGTGCGAGAGCATTACGCTGTGGCCTGCTATGAACAATCATCATAAAACTTACTGCGCTTTCTCTTTTTGTGGCCAACGTCATCCTCAGAGTCTCCAGAGTCACTGGCTTCTTCCTCCTCTTCCTCTTCCTCGTCGTCGTCATCGTTAATGAATCCTTTCAGATTCCCCTGCTCATCTTGATCATCAAGATTCTCCTCCTCCTCTTCCTCATCTGGTGGAGAGCAGCAAGTGTTAGACATGTACTCATTTGTTATCTGCCGAGACTCCTTCTTCGCTCTGCGCAAACGGCATCTTCTTTCACACTATTCACGCAGAGAGTTTTAACCGAACACTTCTACTGACACAGAATCCAGCCAGCTGCTCATGCCAGAACCCCACTTCTTGCCTCACGCTCTTTCTACAGAGGGAACAGGTGGAGTGGTCACACTGGGAGAATTCCTCTGCTTTTACTGTTTACTATCAAACTGTGCGACTGCAAGTCCCACGGGCGTGAAGCAGTGTATTTTCTATTGCCAAATATAAAAACCACCTAGGCATTTTGAGGAAAGGAAGCACGGAAACAGCTGAGATTATTGACTACAGATGGCCATGCTATTACAGCACAGTTATTGCTCCATCTGCAGAGTCATCGGATGTAAAATAAAGCAGCGAGGCACACAGACAATTCAGCAAACTCAGGACAGGCAGACTCACCATCTTCATCTTCCTCTACAAACTTTTTGGTTACTCTGGGCACAACCTCCCCATCCTGGTTGTACTCCTCCTCCGACTCCTCTGCTTCACTTTCTACAAAGTCAGACATGACTGCAGCGTCTCACACACGGCTCTGCAGGAACTGGGGAAAGAGGAGACATCCATCGCATCAGCCGAGTGAGCAAAACACAAGCACTTCCCCCTACCGAGTTTTGGAGAGGAGACAGTTAAGGCAAGAGGGTTTCAGATTATCTATCAAGGCCCTGAATTACCCAGTGTCCACCTTGCCTGGACATCCCTGTCACCAGAGATTAGGCAACGGAGCCAGCAGCCAAGAGCTGCTAGCTCCTGTCGACCCACACCTCAGCGAGCAGGACAGGACCTGTCACAGCAGCATTCATTACACAGCCGAGCTCCCGGCTGCGGCTGAAACGGCACACACAGCCAAAGCCCATCCATACCCTCCCACGCGGCCAGAAAAGCAACCCTATGCTGTCACCGACACAGCACTGTGTTAGGCACACAGTCCAACCAATTAGGATCTTAATGTGATTAATTCTCACTCAGTTAATGAAGCTAGGGCAACCCTAATAAGGGCCTTGACGAAGCCGCACTCGCACGCTGTTAGCAAGGCTCTGTGGAGATCTGGGAAGCCCCACGGAACAAACAGGAGAGAGGCCTGGAGGGTGCTGCAGGGTCAGGGCTGGGGGCTGCCGGCTGCCCAACTCCACCGCCCCGCACAGCCGGAGCCGCGGCCGGGATGTTCCAGGCCAGGGGCCTCCGACCAGAGATTAAGTAGTAAAAGAGACTACAGAAACAGGGTATTTTCTGTATCCAGAACCTTTTTTTGATGTTTTTCCCCCAACTGGAGTTCCTGGAAGCAGTATAAATGAACCTTGGCACAAAGGAAAATGTATGTCCATAAAGACATGGTTCAAGTTCTGTCTCTCTGAGCCTTTCACATCTTGTGGTTACAAAACTTGCTGTCATTTTTTGAATTTTCAAAGGATTTTTTTTTTTTAAATTCCTTTTTACATACACCAAAACAACAGAAGCTTACAAAAGGCAGCTATAAGAAAAAACAAATCGATTCCTCAAATGGCTGTGAAGTTGAAAACGCCAGCCCAGGAAGAAGAACCAGCCTCTGGGAAGGTACAAAAAGCAGCTCAGAGGAGATGTCAGATCTAAAGCCAAAACCTCCATGTTAAATTACATCTGATGTAATTTAACACAGGAGGGAAAAAAAAAAAGAGAAAAAGATGAGAAAAGAATTCCATACATCAGGGAACGATACCTAAACAAACATGCTTCAAAATGTTCCCATAATCATTTCCCCATGGCAAACAAACAGCTGAAGGAAATCAGTCCCATACAGGACAACCCGATCAATGCTTTGCCACGACGCTTCTTGTGTGCACGACTTCTTGTTCTGCCCCGAGATTCACACATCTGGTACACAAACACAATAACTTAGAGAAAAACAGAGACTTATTTCTCAGTTAAAATAAAAAAAAAAGTGCAAGGCCGATCTTGGAGAATCTTTTAAGTCTTAAAACACTAATAGCTCCAGAGGAATGTGTCGGACGTACCTCATTAAAGAAAACCCACTACAAAGACAAGAGAAAGACCTCTGCCAGATTTCAGACACGAGCAGATAGCAGCTCTTACTCCTTGGCTGCGGATTACACGGCTGCGGCCAACATCTATCTACAATGCTCCAGACAGGCAGAAATCATGGCAGGCCAAGGCTACTGCTCTGCACCCAGACAGGACATCGCTGCTCTGGCTTGCTGCGTGGGCACGGGGTGATCCCTGTCCTCAGGAGGACACTGTAGAAGTCACACGCATGTATTTAAGCATTCCTCTCAGAAATAAGCAAATTTGTTCCTGAAACAAATGCCACTGACGAATTGTGTAACTACATACAGTAGAGGAACAGGAATTGTTATATTTACCAGCCTGTGTATGAATATTATGTCAGCTTCACACTTGCTCACCAATTCTTCTTCTACACGTATCCATGAGGATGTATTAACATACATAAAACTGCAGGCTAAGTGGCTTTTCCTAAAGCATTTCCATTTCTAAGTCTAATAACCTCATCTCTCTCCTGCCCATGACCAACACACAAATCCAGCAAGAAAGAAAACCCCTCATCATAGCACACATGCAATTTTACTATTCTCTGCCAGTGAAGCGTTTCGCTCGCAATTCCAACTTTGTTCCTCATCACTTGTTCTACCATTTCCTGGCAACTTCAGTTCATGTCAAATCTAATTTGTCTGGACACAGGGAACAGCTATGACTTAGGAAACCCATCTCATTTAATGATCCAGCTGAGCAGGTTCCACACAAGCCAACCACCCACAAAACCGGGTGCTTTCAGCTCCAGTGAAATCCACCTCAGGACAGTGGGGATGTCACTTAGCATGGCAAACGGAAGCAAGGGTAGCTATTACCAAGGAGATGTTGAATCACATATGGACTAAAGGTGCCTCTCCCACCCTCCGCTCCAGAGAGGCCTTCATTTGAAATAAAACAGGACGGGGAGGCAGGCAGAGACTGCAGCCAGCGCGGGCAGAGGTGCAGAGGCAGAGCTCAGACCAGCAGTGAGCTGGTGGGAGCCCCCTGAGCCAGTCGGACACGCAGGGAAAGCCCCACTCAAGCAGCACCGCTTGTCTGGCTTGGGGAGGGTGGAAGAGTCTCCAGACTGAGGAGTGTTGCGCCAGCCCAGCTGTATCATGCTACGGGCCTTTCCTCGGAGCAGCACAGCAGCATCCCTGCTCCTGTAATACTCCCAGGAGAGGGTCAGAGATTGCCGCAGCACGGAGGCCAGTACTAAATTGCACTAGAGCACCAAAAAGGCAGGGAGACAGTGCCTAATCCTGCACGCTTACCTGTACACAAGCAGACAGGCTCCTATGGGTGATATATACATATATATAGCTTTACCCCAAAGAGACCCCACGGACACTACACACTGACCGAGATGGACCAAAGACAACAGCAATGCAGCAAGCAGCGCTGCAACGGCACCACAGCAGCAGGTGAGGGAAGCACGGGTGCCTCCGTGCCGAGCCAGGGACCTCAAGCACGGCCTCTCTCGCTGGGCAGCGACACCAGAGCAGCTCAGGGCTGAGCAATTACATGACCTCTGCTTTCGACCAGGGGCATCTGCACTTTGCTCAGCTCAAGGGCACAGTGGAAATTGCCCAGAGTCCACAAGCTCCTTTTTAACTGGGGTGACCCTGAGCAGATAGCTCTCTTCGCTGTCAATACCGAGAGGGTAGATCTCTGATCAGGTTGGCAAGACTGGGCTGGACATCAGCTGCAGGCACTGTGGGCTGCCTCCCTGGTTAGGTGAGGCAGCGCCTTTGGAACAAGCGCTGCTTTGTGATGGACCTGAGAATTCTGGAAACCAGACATTGCAATACCTCTAAAGCCTTGGCCACGCATCCAGATACCTGGTGGCTGCTCAGGACTGCAAAATATCGCAGCGCTGGAGGCAGACGCAGCTTTGTACATCATACACAAGCAAAAGTTAATTCATTAGGTTTAGAAATGGAAATACACAGCGAGCACCTGCAAAATATCAGAATACATTATGGGAAAAACTCCTGCACCTTGCCAGTTATGGTGGCACTCTGGCAAGGCAGGGACACAACTGCGTGCAGAATGACATCGGGAATGACAGTGCCCCACAAGAGCTTCACAGGTGTGGGGTGAGGGAAACCAGAAGCATCTCATGCTCTCCAGGCATGGGGTGCCAACTAAGGCATGAGACCTCAGCGGTGCTCACAGAATAACCAAGGATTGTCCTCACAGCGAGATACATTTATTATTCAGCAATCAGGATATCAGCATCAATGCACAAAACAGCAAAACCAAGTGCTAATCTAGGCTTTACTACAGCATGGGTGCTGAAGAAAAGCAAGTCCTGACTTGTCCCCATCCTTCGTGGGAGAAACTACATCAAGGCCCTGACCCACGCTAATACTGGTTTTGAGGGTGTTTTTTTTTTGCGGGGGGCGGGGGGGAAGGGTTTGGACAGGGATTGTTTTAACCTCTGCCATTTCATGGTTCAACTCACAGTCCACTTAAGATCATGTAGGTCCATGGAACCACATTACCAAAGCCACCACTGAACAGTTTCGCTCATTTCTCATGTCTAAAGAGAAAAGTTAAACTGGAGAGGATTCAGAAAACTCTGTGAGAATAAGAAGGCTGGGAAACTTGACTAAATTAAAACATAGAGCCTAAAGAAGCCCAATCTATTCATTTTGCCAATTAAATGCTTATGAAATTAATTTCAGCACGGCCCGAGTACATCCACAAGAGCAAAAGACTGTGACAATAAATGGCTCGTTAGGAAAAACCCAAATGAACTGCAAAGGTAATGCCACCGTTCCACCCCCTGAAGCTCTCACAATGAAATCAATTTTGGTTTTCTTAACAAAAAAAAAAAAGCTACGACTGAGCTGGAATATGTGGATTTAACACTAAGCAATGACCTCCAGGCTGCGTCCCTCCACAGATTTCAGACAAGATCATATTCTTTTAATTTGAAGCTTATGAGCCTAACAAAAACAAGCCTGTGAAGCACTGTAAGGCACTCGCACCACAACAAAATACCCTCACGGGCACCTCCTCAGCGCTGAGCTCTTCCTCAGGGCCACTCCTTGGTACAGGCAGGGACTTCTGTAGGGCTGACCTCTGCCAGAGCCTGCCAGCCCTGATACAGCATCAGCAACATATAGTTTTGTATTTAGCTTTTATAGCTGTTTTACGAATTTCTGAAGCCAGTACCTAAACCAGACATTCCCACCCTCCTCGGTGGTAGATGTGCAAAGGAGCACAGGGGCGAAACGATGACTGGAGACCAACGATGCTGCGACAGGGAAAGTCCAGGCAGCCAGCCACTGCAGCTCAGGAACTTCCCATACCTGCTTCGTTAGTTTTAATGCTCCCTGTTGGTCCCACCACCCCTGACACTATCGGGCAGCAGAACATCCTGTGGCAGAGTGCCACAGTTTAATAGCATGTTGTGTGAAAAAGCACTTCCGCCTGTTTATTTTAGACCTGCTGCATCGTAATTTCCTGTAAGAAACA